CTCCTCCTCCTCCTCCTCCTCCTCCCCTCCTCCTCCTCTCCCTCCCTCCTCCTCCTCCTCCTCCTCCCTCCTCTTCCTCCTCCTCCTTATCCTCTTCCTCCTCCTCTCCTCCTCCTCCCTCTACCTCTTCCTCCTCTCCTCCTCCTTCCTCCCTCCTCCTCTCCTCCTCCTCCCTCCTCCTTGCTCCTTCTCCTCTTCCCCTCCTCCTCATCTATCTCATCCTCCTCATCGGCCTCGTCTGTCCCCCCTCCCTTCTCCCCCGCTTTCATTATGATCCTCCTCCAGTGCGTTCCCGAAGAGTCGTGCCGGAACGCGCTCTGCACAATTATCGAGGCTGCTCCGCTTGCCACCCCGCTTCTGATCAATCCAACCTCCGTCGGCCCCACGCCTCCTCCTTCTCGCCCCCACCCTGCTCCGCGTCACCTCCCCCCTCCCGTGATCTTCCGCCTCCTCCTCCTCTCTCCTCTCCTCCTCCTACCTCTCATCCGCCTCCTCCTCCTCCTCCTCCTCCGCCTCCTCCTCCTCCTCCTCCTCCTCCTCCTCCTCCTCCTCCTTGTCCTTACACCCCCTTACATGCAGAGCGTTTTTGGAGTTTCTCTGAAGCCTGTTCGGGGCCGCTTGGAGTGCTCTTGGGGCCTCTTGGGAGCCTCTTGGAGCCCGCTCGGGGCCTATTGCGGGACTCTTGGGCCTTCCTGGGAGCCTTTTGAGGCAGAAGCCCAGGACTTTCGGCCCGCGCCCTCCTCTGGGGCCACTCTTGGGACCGTCTTGAGGCCCTCTTGGGCAGTTTTTGGCGCCCCTTGGGCCGTATCAGGACCCTCTTGGGCCAGCGTGGGGCGGCCTTGGGGGCCTCTTGGGCCGCTTGGGGTCGGTTTGGGGGGCCTCTCGGACCGTCTTGGAGCGTCGGAAACTCGAAGAAGCGAAAAAACAAGACACATCGAAAAGCAAACGCAAAATCCTCTTGAAAACGGTCTTGGGGCTCTCGGAGGGGAACCAAGGCTTCTTGAGCCGTCTGGAGGCCATCTTGGGCGCTGTGATTGCATCGTTTGACGGCTCTGGGGCCCTCTTGGGTCTCCTTGCGCCCTCTTGGGGCCGGCCAGGACCGTCACAAGGGGGTCTTGGAAGCAGTCTGGGGCCCTGGTCCCCCCATGGAGTGTTGAGGCAGCTGTTGTCGGGCCCCGGGCCTACCACCCTGTGATAGATAGATAGACGGATTGAATGATTGATATGATAGACTGATAAGATAGATAGATAGATAGATAGATAGATAGATAGATAGATAGATAGATAGATAGATAGATAGATAGATAGATAGATAGACAGAGAGATAGATAGATAGACAGACAGATAGATAGATAGATAGATAGACAGACAGACAGACAGATAGATAGATAGATAGATAGACAGACAGACAGATAGATAGATAGATAGATAGATATAGCTCGATAGATAGATAGATAGATAGATATATGCGTATATATAGAATATGTATGTGTATATATACATATAAAGGTATACATATACATCTATATATATGAAAGAGCGTGTTCTACCGCTGCTGGCGGAAAACCGGGGGGGGTCACTACGGCGCGAACCGCCGGCGCAGACTATCCCTCCCCCCCCCCCCCTCCGGAAAACCGGGGGGGGTCACTACCGGTTCGAACCCCTCCCCCCCCCCCCCCCAGCTCATCATGAAAAGGGGGGGGGGTCACTACCGGTTCGAACCCCCCCCCCCCCCTCGAAAACCGAGTGGGGGTGCGGACAACGCCGGCCGCACTCCCCATCCGGTGGCTGACGCTCTGCGCTGCGTCGGGCGCTCATCGAGAGGATGCCGCGGGACACTAGCGGTGGGACAGTGGTGGGGACAGTGGGGGGACAGTGGGACAGCGGTGGGGACGGTAGTGGTGGGGACAGTGGTGGGGACAATGGTGGGAACAGGGGGGACAGTAGACAGTGGTGGGAACGGTGGTGGTGGGGACAGTGGTGTGGGGACAGTGGGAATGAGGTGGAAACACTGGGACAGTGGAGGGTACAATGGTGGTGGGGACACTGGTAAAGGCGTCGGCGAGGACAGCGGTGGGACAATGGGACAGAGGTACAGTGGGGACAGTGGTGGGGACAGTGGGGACAGTGGTGGGAACAGTGGGACAGCTCAGTGGGACAGCGGAGGAGTCAGTGGGACAATGGGGACAGTGGGGATAGGCAGTGGTTGGGTCCGTGGAGACAGTGGGGAGAGTGGAACCGTGGTGGGAACAGTGGTGGGAACAGTGGGGACAGTGCGACAGTGGCGGGGGCACTGGTGTGGACAATAGGGACGGTGGTGGAACCAGTGGGGACAGTGGTGGTGAGGACAGTGGTGCTGGGAACAATAGTGGGGGATGTGATGCGAGCGGTGGTAGGGACCGGGAGTCGTTTGCTGGCGGTGCGTGGGGGGGGGGTCGAACCGGCAGTGACGCCCCTCCGGTTTTCGAGGGGGGGGGGGGTTCCAACCGGTAGTGACCCCCCCCGGTTTTCCGGATCCGGAGGGGGGGGGGTGGAGGAGTTCGAACCGGTAGTGACCCCCCCCCGGTTTTCGAGGGGGAGGGGGGGGGGAGGGGTTAGGGGAGGGGTTAGGGGAGGGGGGGGGGGGTTTTTGCTGGGAGGGGGGGGGGGGGGGGAGGGGTTCCAGCAGGGGGGGGGGATTTTCGGGGGGGGGGTGTGTGGAGATCCCGGGTTCCGGAGGAAAAGGTTGGCAATTTTCCACAGTAAAGCGGCGGTGGATCACGCTCTCTCATATATATATATACATACACAAAAAGGGGCATACATAGATAGATAGGTACAACGCTAGATAAATATTCCCCAATCAGAGCTTGCCTCTGTAGGGGTCCTAGCGGATACATATGGTTAAATTAGGTTTGCCGCTGACTTTCGCTGCACGCCCGGGTGCCCGGGTGCCCGGGGGTGCCCGGGTGGTGCCCGGGGGTGCCCGGAGGTGCCCAGGGGTGCCCAGAGGTGCCCCGGGGTGCCCGGGTGCCCCGGGGTACCCCGGTGCTCTATCGCCCTATAGCCCTATAGCTTTATAGCCCTATATCCCTATATACCTATAGACCTACAGCCCTATAGTCCTATAACCCTAATAGCCCTATAGCCCTATAGCCATATAGCCCTATAGTCCTTATGCCCTATAGCCCAATCGGCCTGTAGCCCTATAACCCTATAGCCCTGACAGGCCTATATCCTTATAGCCTTATTGCCTTGTAGCCATATAACCCTATGTTCCTATAGCCCTATAGCCCTGTAGTCCTGTAGCCCTAGCCCTATGGTCCTATAGCCGTATAGCCCCATAGCCCTACAGCCCTACAAATATTATGATTGGGGCTTTTCTCTGGTCGGAGGTGAGGGGGTGAGATCGAAGTGGAACGGAGAGCCCCCCTACCGGGAAATCGATTTCGGTTTCGTGTTCGTGCGTGCTGTGCGTGCGTGCGAGGCGAAGCTGCGTGGGCGGGCGAGAAGAAAGTCTCCTGTGGCTGAGGCGCGGCCGGACCAAATGTCTCCCTTCCGGGCGGCCGGTGGCCCGCGGTGTCCCGCCGGTGTCCCGCTGGTGTCCCGTGTGGGGAGGCGCGGCCGGACAAATGTCTCCCTTCCGGGGGCCTTGTTTTGGCCCGCGGTGTCCGCCGGTGTCCCGCGGTGTATGTCCCGCGGTGTTTCCCCGCGGTGCCCCGCGGTGTCCCGACGGTGTCCGCGGTGTCCCGGCGCTTGATGATGATATGAAGTGATATTCGCCATTTGAGATGATGATGGATGATGATTTGATGATGATGATGATGATGATGATGATGATGATGATGATGATGATGCTGCTGATGATGATGATGATGATGATGATGATCATGATGATGATGGTGATGCTGATGATGATGATGCTGCTGATGATGCTGATGCTGATGTTGATGCTGATGATGATGGTGATGGTGATGCTGATGCTGATGCTGATGCTGATGATGATGAGGACGATGATGATGATGATGATGATGATGATGATGATGATGATGATGATGATGATCGAGTGAGATCGAGTGTGAGATAGATCGAGTGAGATCGAGTGAGATCGATTGTGAGATCGATTGTGAGATCGATCGAGGGAGATCAATCGAGCGAGACCGATACTGAGATCGATAGTGAGATCGATAGTGAGACCGATCGAGTGAGACGTTGGTTCCTCCCCCCCCGAACCTCCTTATCACCCGAAGGGTGGTCGTATAGGTATCATATATATGTACACGGGTAAGGGGCAATAGATAAGAGACAGCGGAAGATAGCAGAGAGAGAGAGAGAAAGAGACATAAGGACAGAGAGAAACGACATGCTCAATGAAGGATGTGGCTGGCGCCAAAGCGAGCAAGACATGCTCAATGAAAGATGTGGCTGGCATCTTACCGACAGCACAACAGTTCCAATCAGAGATGTGGCCAGCGCCATAGCGACACCGACATGTTCAATGAAGGATGTCGCCAGCGCCTGGGCGACAGCAGCATGTTGAATCAGACGCGTGGCCAGCGCCAAGGCGAGGACAGCATGTTCAATGAAGGGTGTCGCCAGCACCCAGGCAACTGTGCAACAGCAACATTTTCAATCAGAGATTTGGCCCACGCACAGGCCGGAACACCATTCCGAGACAAGCGCGTCGCCAGAATGCGGGTGTCATGCCCGCTTCGCGCGCGCCGGGCTCGGTGTCACCGAGTTCTGGTTGACATTAAGTGGGTAGTCCACGTTAGGGGGTCTGGAGAGAGAAAGAGGCTGAGAGAAGAAAACAAAAAATGAAAGCGAGAGAGAGAGAGAGAGAGAAACAAAAAACAAAAACTATAAATAAAGAAGAAAGAGGTGGAGAAAGGTAGAGAAAAGAGGGGTGTGTATATATATATATATAGACTAACACAGAAAATGAGCGACTGAAGAGCAAAAGAAGAGAACATGCGAACCAGCGGGCAGTTGCAGCGGGGGCGAGCCGCTGAGCGCGCAGCCCATCACCTGGGCGATGTAGCCGCGCTCCAGTGGCTCCGAGAACCAGTTGCGGCCGACGAGCTGGGCCTGCAGCTGCTGCAGGTTCAGCCGCGCGACGCGCACCTGCTCCTGGGTCGGCTCAACGCAGGAGTGACCCCGGGTAGGAGTGACCTTCGGTGCGCGGCTTTTTGGGGGGCCGCGGGGGGACCAAACACAGGCGCGCCAGGCGCTACTATCGCATCGCGTTCGGCGATCGTAGGGAGCCCACAAAGGACGTACGCGCCCAGCTATGTACATGAACACGGCCCCTCGATTCGCGAGACCGGCCGCGTTATACGAACATTTTTGCAGTGCGTGCTCTCGAAACCAGCGTGGATTCATGTACATGTACGTCCTTCTTTCGCTCCTGATGATCGGGGGGCCCCACTGGGTCCGCACCCAAGGTCACTCCGGCGAAAGGTCACTCTTACGTCTAGGAGGAGGAGGAGGAGGAGGAGGAGGAAGAGGAGGAGGAGGAGAAGGAGGAAGAGGAGAAGGAGGAGGAGAGCGGGGAGGAGGACGGAGGGAGGAGGAGGAGAGAGGGAGGAGAGAGAGGAGGAGGAGGAGGAGGAGGAGGAGGAGGAGGAGGAGGAGGAGGAGGAGGAGGAGGAGGAGGAGAGAGTGGAGGAGGAGGAGGGGGGGAACCGAAAGATACCGACACCGCCGGCCAGGGTGCCGAGGCGAGCCGCGCCGCGGCGACAGAGGCCCCACGGGGGGTCACACCGGCGAAGGGGCCCGCGCGAGCTTCCGAGTCCCGCCTGCCCCGGCGAGCAGAGTTCGCCGACCCTTTGGGGGTCCACTCGGCGCGTGAGAGTGCTAAAACAGGGCTAGGATCGGGATAAATCGCTCCAGAGCGTTCTGGAGCGCTCTCAGAGGGTTCCGGAACGCTCTGGAGCGGCCGCGGCGCCCAATACATCCCCCAAACCCGCCGATTCTCAGAGATTTCGAGTTATCCCGATCCGATTTTGTCCCGTTCTTCGCGTCGTTTTACCCATCCCCAAACCCCTCCCCCGGGAGCCCGGTCTGGCCCGGTCTGGCCCGGTCTGGCCGGCTGAAGGCGGGGGGGGGGTCAGGCCGACAGGGCCGGCTCAGGGCGCGTCGAGTTGCCCCAGGAGGCCCCAATGCGGCCCAAAATGACCGCCGCGTGGCCCGAGATGGCCCCAGGACGCCTCAAGACGGCCTCAAGACAGCCCGCCCGATAGGCCCCCAAGACGCCTCCAGAGAGCTCCAAGGGGAGCCCCAAGAGGGCCCCGATCAGCAAAGATCGCCCCGCTCCCACGAGAAAATGTGCATGTTCATGACATTCGCTCCTTCAGTTCTGAAGCCGCCCAAGACGGCCCAACATGCCCCCCCTCATCGCCCCAGGACTGCACGCGACGCCTCCAAGAGGGCCACAAGACGGCCAAGGAAACATTCACTAGGGCCCCAAGATGGCCCAAGAAGACCCCCGAGGTGGCCCAGGGCCCCATGACGGCCTCTGAGTACGTATGGGGATGGAAAGGAAGGCCCATCGGCCAACCCCCCCCCCCGTCCTCGGCAACAAAACATTGCCGGGTTCGGGCCTCGGCTTGCCTGCGAAGGAGGCCAGGCCCAAGTCAGTTTTTCGAACCCGCGTCCCGCCGTGACTCACGAGAACCCCTCGAAGGACAAAAAAACGACTCGACGATGCCAACGATGATGGGCACCGCGCGCGCGCCTTTTGTCCTATCGACCGAGCCACACACGCCACGCGCCCTCCGCCCGGCAAGCAAACGCAGCAGAAACGGCAAAAGGAGGGGAAGGGAAAAGGAGCAAAACGACGGGACTGGGGCCCCCCAGAACCCTGACGGGGACACCGTCGAAGATAAACATGCGCAAACAGCACACCCCGCCTCGGAACTCCACACCGTGGGTTTCTAGGTCAAGGTCACCCTGGGACCCCGCCCAAGGAAAGAGAAGAAGAAGAAACACCCAGGACTCAACACAAAAACCGGCGCAATTTCTACGAGAGGAAGAGAGTCAGCACCGGGAGACGCCCCCCTCATGACGGAGGAAAGGCGGCCACGCCCGAAGGCGGCTTCAAGCAATTCAGCTGCAAGAGCTGTGTACCAGGTATACAGCGCCGAACTGCTCGCACACGCGGGCACGGTCCTTCCGCGGAAGCCGCTCCACAGGTGGAAGATCTGCTACAGGGAGAACGCGAAGAAGTTGAGGAATGAGAGGAGGAACGAGGAACGCGAAATCATGGGACGACAGGGAGGGCCAACGGGAAACCTGCGACACCGAGGGAAGAAGTCCACGACGGAGCCGAGGGGAGCTCGAGATGTGCAGAGCTGCCCTCAAGGCAACAGCTTCCCCTGCCGCAGAGTGCCGCCGCTCAGTCTTTTTACGCCCTGTTTGGCGGGAGGTCCGTGGGGCCAGGAGCACCTGCCCCCAACGATGTCAGGAGGGAAAAAAACACACAGACACAATGAATCGTCGATTCCCCAGAAAATATGGGAAAATATGGGAAGTGGGGGGGAAGACAAAACCCCAGAAAATATAGGAAAATATGGGGAATATTTCTATTTATGTGTATTTATTTGTGTGTCCCAGGGCCCCTTCGCGATGGTCCACCCGCGACTCCCGAGCCTCGCGCGCGGCAGGGGCGGGCGCGGGAGCGCCTAACGCAGGTCGCCGCGGGCGGCAGGGGCGGGCGCGGGAGCGCCTAACGCAGGTCGCCGGCGCCTCGATCCTGAACTGGACACCAAGGCGAGCAACGTGCCCGCCGACGCTATGACTCCTGATTTGGGTTGTGCATGGGCCGCCAGCAGCACGGGGGAAGGGCAGCGCCAAGTGCTGTGCCACCAGGAGCCACCGCGCGCCGCACAAGCTCGCGTCTAACACTGCACCTCCGGCCCGTGCGCCCCGGCACACACACACACACACACACGCACACGCACACACACACACACACACACACACAAACACACAGACACACACACACACAAACACACACACACACAAACACACACACACAAAAACACACACACACCACCCACCCCAAACCCAAAAAGGGATGGACTTTCTAAAAACGAAAACACACACAAACACAGAAACACACTCGCACTCACACACACACACACACACACACACACACACACACACACACACACACGCAAACACACACACACACACACACACAGCGCCACGAATATAAAAGGTGTCGCCACGGGCGCAGCACGGCACGAACAGCGCGGCGCGCCACAGCAGACTGCGTAGCTATAGCGTCGGGCCCCCTCTGCCGCAATTACTTGAGCAGCTGGTTCCCCCGCCGCGACGGAGGCAGACCTCGGCGAGCGCTTCGCAACGGGCGCCCCCGGAGCCGCTTAAAAAGAAACCTCGGCGGGCGCTCAGCAACAGACCCCCCCGCCGCAAGGGGAAGCAATCTGGCGGAGTGCGTAGCAGCGGGTTTATCAGCCGCGAAAATACACGCCCCCCCCCCCGCCCCCCGCGCCCCGCGCCCCTCGGGCCCTCCTGAAGAAGGACGGAGCAGGATTGCCCGCTGCGGCCGAGAAACCGGTAGCTTCGGCCGCCCGGGCACCCTCGCCGCCGCGGGATGCCCGAGCGCCCTCGCGCCGAGTCGCTGGAAGCCGGCCGCTCGCAAACGCGGGCAGGCATCGGCGGCGGCGTCCTACCTCTGCGGTCTAGAGCAGGCATGCTCGATCCTCGCGGGGAAGTGTCTTCCCGCGCGCCTCGCTTCGGGCGAGCAGGGCGCCGTTTCTCCTCGCTTGAGGGCTGAGGCGGACTGTTGGTCGCTTCGTCGCCAGGGCCAGAGCAGCCCCCAGAGGTCGAGCGCTCTGGGGAGTCACTTTCTTGCGAAGCTTCTGCCAGCATGTCTGCGCCGTTGCCCGCGCGCGCAAAAGCGCGCCCACCCCCGCGCCTGCAGATCCCGCCCAGGCGGCGCCAGCACATCAACCGGCGCCCGCCTTCGCACCGCGGTCCGGAACGCGCGCCTGCCCAGTCGAACCCCTCGCAATTCTTGCGAGCCCCCGACTTGTGAAATCGGCGTTGCAATCTTCTTTCGGGAGCGGCCAAGAGGGGGGTGTCCAAGAGGGGGGGGTGCAAATCATGACCGGCGGCACGTGCGCGGCCCAAGGGGGGGGGCTGGGGACGTAATGAAACAAGAAGAGGCGCCATGAAATCTGAGGAAATATCATGGCCCCCGCCATGATATCCACCCCCCCCTAGTCATCACCCCCCTCTTTTCCGCCCCCGAGTCTTCTAATGCTCTGGACGACACCGCGGGCCGCCCAGCGACGCGCGCGCACACCTTTTTGCACCCCACCGCCGCGCGCAATCCTCTGCTCGCGGACACGGCTGGGCGCCCCCCATCCGCTGAAACCACGTCGCTCTGCGCGCTGTTTGCACGGGGCGTCTCTCCACGAGTTCCGCGCGCCCGTCGCGGGGCCACTCGCGGCTTTCGTCTGGGCCCCCTCTCTCTATCCCGTGCTGTGTCCCCACATCGTACTCGAGGCCGCGACGACGGTCTATCCGCGTTCTGGACGGGGGTTCCAAGACGGAGGACTCAGGTGGGGCTTTCAACCCAAGAGGGTACAGGTGTAATCCCACTCCTCAAAAAATCCTGGACTTTACCAGCATTGAGGCGGGCGAAGCCGCAGATGCAGCCGTCTGCTTCTGACAGCCTGCACTAATCCAGAAAAAAAAAAAAAAAAAAAAAAAAAAAAAAAAAAAAAAAAAAAAAAAAAAAAAAAAAAAAAAAAAAAAAAAAAAACGCGTCGTCCTCTGACGAGCCAGTCGTTGGCCGTTGACACTCCGCGCGTTGACACTCCTTCTGAGGTCGCAATTGCTGAGGACGTTCCTGCGCGCTGCTGGTGTTTTCATATCAAGCGTCTCTAACTCGCCAGTCTGCGAGGGACTCATACGTCGTTGCAGCATCCGCAAATCAAGCACTTACCTGGTCTACGCGAGGCAGAGCTCGTCGTCTCATGCACTCCCTGCTTCCACTGACGGATGCACGGCGCAGCAGTCAGACTTCGGCATTCAACTTTTTCGGCCTCTTTGCACATCATTCTGTCTCGCAGTATCTGAGCTGCATCTTCTGCGGCGCCCTGCCACTCACGATTAAATGACCCACCGCCCACGACGCGAGGTTCATCCCCGAATGGTGGAGGCGGCGCACCCTGATGACGTTCGCCCTGGATGCGCGATCCCGCCAACTGGGCCCTCATCGGCGCGGCGCGCTCGCGCTGGCCAGGCTTCTCAGGCTCAGGCGCGGCGCAGCCGCCACGGCTCTGCTGACTTTGCCTTCGGCACCTGTCTCCAGCGCGACAAACGGCAGATGGCCCCGCCGCGATGCGCAGGCGCGCCACGCGCGCGGCATGGTCCCCGCGCCCGTCCACTCCACGCGCGGCCGCGGCGACACGGGCACGAGCTGCGGCACCCCCGCCACTAGGCGCACGCGCCACGTGCCTGGTGATACCGGCCCAGCACGGATCGCGGACAAACGTCTCTCCGATGAATTTCGGTAGTCGTCCAACCTGGCAATTTTAGCACCAGCCCCATGTCTAGAGCCTTATCCAGGCTCATGGCGTTGATCATGCTGTGGCTCTGGAACTGGCTATTGTAGTCGGCGCTATACGTTCGCATGCCCCGAGTCTGTCACACGCGTCTCTGACCTGTTCTTGCAACTCGAGCAGCACAGTTTCGCGCGCGGAGATCGCGTGGTCAGTTGCAGAGGCTTGACCACCCGCGTTCTTTAGCCGCTCCTGGAAGGCAGCGCGGTTCATCCTTATACCATGCACGGCGGTTACGACTTCTGTCATCTGACTCTTGACATAATCCAGCTAAGCGTCGTTAGCGACAACTTGCGTTCGCAGGGTTCCGTCTTTTGTCTGGAGCTCATACAGCAGGTCATCACGCTGCTTATTCCCGAGCGCATTGCTCTCCTGCTCACCTCCAACGTCGTTGAGTCGTTGGCCCAGCACCGCAAGCTGTTCACAGAGGTCGGCATTGCTGCTCTGCATCGGCTGCTGCGCCTCACCCTGATCCGTGGCACTCTCGGCCACAAGGGCTTCGACAGCAGCACGAGCTTCAGCATCGATAACTGAACGGACTTCTTGTGGTTGACTGGCCGACTGGGCCATACTCTGAACTTCTTCTGCAACGACCCGCGCTTGCTGGTCGCTGTGCTCATGCTTGCCTTTCGCGTGTTCTACGAATGCACCGCGGAGAGTCTAGATAGAATCTCCCCCTTGCCCCTGAAGAGCTGCACGTTGTTGCCTGATTTGCTCCTGCAAAGCAATTTGCACACTCTGCAGGTCACTCGGCAGCACCAGTACGTCGACTCGACGGTCATTGGCTCATGGTTCGCGCCGAATTGACGCTTATCGGTTTGGCCCGCGTCAATCCGACGCCCATTATTATGGGCCGCGTCAAATCGACGCTCATTGGCATATACCCCACAAGGCGATCGTGAGGTTTGTCTCCGTTGCGCGTTCTGACCCATCCTGGCTGACATTGCAGCTCTGTTTTGCTTTGGTGTTCGACCGCGGGATAGGAACACATCATCGAAGGGCTAAAGCAGATTGCCCCACCACTTTTCTGGCCCTTCCGGGTTCATCCTGAGAGAGGCTGGTCGTGCTAGAGCACCAGGTTCCCCCGACGCAATGATCGCAGCGTCAGGGCTTCCCCGACGCAGCGCCCGCAGCAACAGATCTCCCTGCAGCGATGCCCGCGGCAGCAGATCTCTACGCCGCAACGCCCGTAGCGCCACGTCCCCACGCCGCGATGGCCCCGCCATGCGAGGCATTTGCGGGCGTCGTCGCGTCGATGTTACACCCCATAGGAATCACGGTTGCATCACCAGTTCATCGATTCACCCCAGCCGTGGCGGCGACAGCTGACCACTCGCATGTCATAGCGTGGCCGTCAGCGGCCCCATCAAACTCGAACGAAGCATTCGAGATTATCGCCTCGAGACCCACAACCAGCGAATCCGAGGTCATCCCCCCGCGAGAGCGAGCCTTTCGGCTGATAACCGATGTGTGGGGATGGAACGGCCTATGGGCCCAAACCCTCCCCGTCCTCGCCAACAAAACGTTGCTGGGATTGGGCCCTGACTCGCCTGTGAAGGCGGTCAATCCGGCCAGATTTTCGAGTTCACGTCCTGCCGCGACCCACGAGAACGCCCCGAAGAAACAAGAAAAGACCGCTTGCAATCCGATCCGACGATACGAACGACGACGGGCGGCGCGCGCGCCCGTATTCCGATCGACCGAGCCCCAAGTTCTACGCGCCCGCTGGCTTGCAAACAGACGCAGCCGCAAGGGCAGGAGGAGGGGAAAAGGAAGGGCGGGTGGGGGGGAAGGACCAAGACGGAACCGGGAACCCCCGAAACCCTGACGGGGATGCCGTCGAAAACAAACATGCGCCAAAACCAAGGGGTGAAGCACACAGACACTCCGAAGACGCCAGACGTTTCTAGAGCACCCCCCGAGAGGCCTCGAGATGGCTCCAAGAAGCTCCCAAGAGGCCCCAAGATGCCCACAATATGCCACCAAGTGGTCGCCAAAAGGCGCCCAGGAGCCGTCCAAATACACATGCCCTGCGCGCTCTGGACGCGCACCCCGCGAAGCGCGAGGAATTCAGTTTCCCATCACCAAGGCAAGCAGAATGCCTGACTGTACTGTTCTTGCTTGCGAGACAAGCTCTGATACTCTCGTACCCCTGCCGTTGCGGTCCTTCCCTCCTCCTTTTCCTCCTCCTCCTCCTCCTCCTCCTCCTCCTCCTCCTCCTCCTCCTCCTCCTCCTCCTCCTCCTCCTCCTCCTCCTCCTCCTCCTCCTCCCCCTCCCCCTCCTCCTCCTCCTCCCCCTCCCCCTCCTCCTTCATCCTCTTTCATCCTCCTCATCCGGAGACGGACCCATGTCCTCCCAGAGACAGACGGCCGCAGAAGCCTTCCGTATAGTTCCCATCAGGCCTCCAGAGAGCTCGCGAAAGGCACCTCACGAAACACCCAGGGACCAACGGGGCCTCCGCGCGCGGCAACGTCATAACTGCAGCAGCACCAAACTACTAACCAAAACTCCACCATGACCGGGCGCGGGCCGCAACGGAAGCACAATATAAGGAGCAGCATACGCGAACGCTGGTAACCGCCACCAGGTTGACCGATACCTATGGCTCCACCGGCCCCTGGGGTCTACTTGACTGTGGCAGGCGTTGCTCCACTGCGACACTGAGAAAATGCTCGGGCCGCCAAAAGACCACAAGGGGTTGGCGGTGTGGCGTAAGCCTGAGAATCAGCACCGGCAGTCCCTCTCGAAGCGCTGTTGTTGCTGGCTTATGTTGTACATACAGATGCAGATGCATACTGGCAGAAATGGCGTCGTGACAATTGCTGAAAGGCTTTGGTCTCGGCGGGCCAGCCTTCTCGGCCACATTTCCTGGCCAGTGACCCTCTTTTCAAGACGCGAGGGGGTCTGGGACGAGGGAAGACCACTATAGGCATCGGCCGAGACGTCCAACGATGCGATCTTTACTGTCCGCGGTTCCCGAGATCTCAACCTCTTCCCCGCGGTCCCTCATCCCACATCCATGCTTGATGGTTCCAGGGTCCGAGGAAAGCTCCCCAAGAGGCCAGGGTTGAACGCCGCGGTCGAGGAAGAAAAAAAATGGGACCAGGGAACAAAACCGAACGCTGGACCCATCCAGGGTGGCGCTCTCGCCAAAATCTCGAGGGGGACGACGAGAACTCTCCAGGACGAGAGCAGCGATACCTGTGCATATATATATATATATATATATATATATATATATATATATATACATCTATATATATGTATATATATACCCTCTGAATTCGACATTCGAGCCTCGGTTCATTTTTCGAGCCCCGAAGCTCCTGCGCCGCCTCCAGCCTCGCGGCCGCGGCGGGGTCCACGGCGGACGCTCTGGTCGGCAGCGCGCGCAGCCCCCGGCGGGGGGGCGCCGCCCCGCGGCACACCCACGCGCCTGAGTGGCACGACATCGTCACCAGCATCGTTCCTATCATCATCGTGTCTACCGTTGTCGACGTTGCCATTATACCGCGACCGCCCAAGTCGCCGACTCGCAGTGAAGTGCCCGCTGGGATGCACTGCCAAACCGACCCCCATTCCCACTGGGCCACGACAACTGACGAATCGAGGTTTTCTCCGACTCGCGTTTCGCTAGAGGGTTCGAAAAGAAACGACCAAAAAAGTACAGATGAGCCCCACAGGGGGGGCAGGGAGCCCGAGAAAACTTTGCTGGAGTCGCCGCTTCGCCTGACACGTCCTTACGATTAATTCAAGAATCGTCCTCTCGCCTCAGTGCCAGCTACATTTCCCTGTCACACGGCCGCGTTCCCTTGCAACCAACCAACATGCTATGGTACACATGGCCGTGCTCTCACCCTTGTCACACGGCCACAATGTTCTGTAACCACAAAAAAAACACAATACGTTGTAAACGGACGTCCTCTCACCCTTGCCACGCGGCCCCGATCCCTTGTGGAAAACACCGCATGCAAATGGCCATCCCCTCACCCCTGTCACACGGCCACGGCCCCTGATTACAAAGACATACTACGGTGGACACGACCGTGTTCTCATCCCTGTCACACGGCCACAATGTTTTGTAACCACAAACTACTACGGTGTCCATGGACGCCCTCTCACCCTTGTCACACGGCCACGACCCCTCGTAGAAAACACCACATGCATATGGCCATTCCCTCACCCCTGTCACACGGTCTCGACCCCTGATTACGGAGACGTACTACGGTGGACACGACCGTGCCTTCATCCTTGTCACACGGCCACAATGTTAACCAAAAAACAACGGTGTGCATGGACATCCTCTCACCCCTGTCACACGGCCACGATCACTTGTACAAAAACCACATGGCTGTGGCAGTTCTCACACCCCTAACACACGACCGCGATCACGTGGAAATGAATCACTACGGCGCACACGGCCGCACTCCCACCACTGTCACACGGCCACGGCCCTTCGGAAAAAAATGCACTGCATTCACATGGCCGCGCTGTCACCCTGCCTCGCGGCCGCGATCCCTTGCAAGGAAAACACGGCGCACATGGCCGCACTCTCAACCCCGCCACGCGGTCACGACTCCTTCAAAAACAAATACCTTTTCGTGCGCAAAGCTGCACACGGTCGCGGCCTTGCGCATAAAAAACTACGGCGCCCTGTCAAACGACCGCGACCCCATGTAAATTAGCCCGGCGAAGGACCCAACCATGCGCAATTGTCAATACCGCAATTTCGATTTCGGCGGCGCTCCGCATGGGCCGCGAACCGCGCGAGGGGCGCGCGTAGACGCGCGTGGGGCGCACAACGCGAACGAAGACGATCAGTCTGGGCGCGAGACACTGAGGGCGGTTGAGTCTGAGCGCGCGCGGGCCTGATAGTGAATGAATCTGCGCGCGAGCGCGTCTACGTGCGTGAACGTCGACACCCACGTCGGCGTGCCCCTTGCGAGGATCGCACCCGCATCCTTCCCTCATCTGTCTGAACTCCTCGCCCGCGCGCGCCAATGTCCAAGGCCGCGGGCGCAGCGCGGCGCGGAATCCCCGCGACGCGCGCCGGTCGCCCCGAAGGGGCCCCAACGACGCGCGCGGGCCGCCCACGGCGCGGAGAAAAGAAAGCCAGCTGGCTGGCCGATAGTGGGCAAAGTCCTGGCCGCGGGGCAGAGCGACGACAGGCGAGCGAAGGGCCGGGCAGAACGCGGCATGGAGCTCCCGCGACGCGCGCTGGTCGCCCCGAACAGGTCTCGGCGACGCGCGCGGGTCGCACGAGGCGCGAGGCCAAACAATCGGACAGAGGAGAGACGGCGCGGCCCAGGTGGGCCGCCCCCCAGGTCAGGCCTCGCGGATAAACTCGGCGAAGCCTGGCCCCCCGGAAAGGATCGTCGCCCCCCTCCTGCCTGCACCGTTTCGCGCGCGCCGCAAACTGCCCCAGCTGCATCCGCATGCCCTCCGGCGGCCCTGCCAGGAAGAACTCGACGCGCGGCGGCCGCGTGAGCAGGAGGACCTCGTGGCGCGCGGCGCGCGAGAGCAGCGCGTAGAGCTTCAGCCACCAATCGTCGCCCCCCGCCCCGCCGTTCCCGACCTCGCGGCGGCCGCAATCCAAGATCACGCCTGGGCAACGTCGGCCGAGAGAGCGGCGCGCCGGACAGTCGACGGCCCGGGGCGAGTCCACGGGACCGCGGAGGTCCGGCAGCGCACCGCTCGCGCCCAGAAGGTCTGGCCGCAGACTGCCCTGGCGCGCCTTTCTCGTCGCGGCGCCCCAGGTCGCCCACGAACGGCGGCGCACTTCCCCATGCGAACCCAGAACCCCAGCGGCAGGTGCTTCAGATAAATGATTTTTTCCCTGTCTCTCTCGGTTTTGTCGACGTCGCCCCGGTGCCGAGGGCAAATGCGAACCCTCCCGCTGGGGCCCTTGGTGGAGCTCCTTATGGGGTCACGAAACCCGCGAGGCGCGCGCCGAAACGGAGCGTCGGCGGCATGCGAACTCCCCCGCTAGGGCCTTCGGCCCAGCTCCCTACGGGGCCAAGAAACGCACGGGGGACGCGCCGAAACGGAGCGGCGGCGCCATGCGAACGTCCCCTACGCGGCCTTAATTTAACTGGAGCTCTTATGGGGCCACCAAACGCGCGAAGGGTGTGCCAACATGGGGCGGCGGCGGCGCCATGTGAACTTTCCCAATGGGGCCTTAGGTGAAGCTCCCTATGGGGCCGCGAAACGCGCGAGGGGTGCGCCGGAATGGAGCGGTGGCGCAATGCGAACTTTCTCACTGAGGCCCCCGGTGGAGCTCCTTATGGGGCCGCGAAGCGCGCGAGGGGCGAGCTCCCGATGGGACAGCGAAACGTGCGAGGGGGTTGCCGAAATGGGGCGGTGGCGCCACGCGAACTCCCCCACTGGAGCGTTTGGTGGAGCCCCCCTCTGGGGCCGCGAAACGCATGAGACTTGCGCAAAAATGGGGCACTGGCGCCACGCGAACTTCCCCGCCAGGGCCTTCGGTTGAGCCCCCCACGGGGCAACAAAATGTGTGAAGGGTTTGCCGAAACGGGGCGGTGGCGCCATGCGAACTGCCCCATTGGGGCCTTCGGCGGGGCTCCCCATGGGGCCACGAAACGTGCGAGGGGTGTGCCATGATGATGACGACGACGACGACGACCACAACGACGACGACGACGACGGCGATGATGATGATGATGATGATGATGATGATGATGATGATGATGATGATGATGATGATGATGATGATGATGATGATGATGATGATGATGATGATGATGATGATGATGATGATGATGATGATGATGATGATGATGATGATGATGATGATGATGATGATGATGATGATGATGATGATGATGAAAATGATAAAGACGATGATGATGATCATGGTGACGATGACGATGACGATGACGACGACGATGATGACGATGACGATGGCGATAAAGATGATGATGTTGCTGCTGACGATGAACTGTTGGCCCCAGCCATCATGTGGAGTTGGGTCCTCGTTATGAAGACGGTCCCCGCCTTCCTCTCCTCTCCTCACCTCTCCTCTCCTCTCCTCTCCTCTCCTCTCCTCTCCTCTCCTCCTCCCCACCCATCCCCCCTCCTTGCCCTCCTCGCCCATGCCCTCCGCATGCCTTGTTTCGGCACGCCCCTCACACGCTGCGCGGCCCCATGGAGAGCCCCACCGAAGGCCCAATTGTCAGCGTTCGCACGCGCCCACCGCACCCATTGCGGCACACCCCTCACACGCTTCGCGGCCCCATCCACCGGAAGCCCAAATGCCAGCGCTCGCACGCGCCCGCCGCACCCATGTTGGCACAACCCTCACACGCTTCGGGGCACCATAGGAAGGCCCAAATGCCAGCCGTTCGCGCGCGCCCACCATTTTGGCACGCCGCTTCACATGTTTCGTGGACCCACAGGGAGCCCCACCGAAGGCCCAAATGCCAGCGTTCGCATGCGCCCACCGCATCCATTGCGGCACGCCCCTCGCACGTTTCGCAGCTCCATAGGGGGCCCCACAAAAGGCCCATATGCCAGCGTTCGCGCGCGCCCACCAACACCCATTCTGGCACGCCCCTCACACGTTTCGTGACCCTATAGGGAGCCCCACCGAAAGGCCCACATGACGGCGTTCGCACGTGCGCACAGCACCCATTTTGGTACACCCCTCGGACGCTTCGCGGCCCCATCGGGAGCCCCACCGAAGCCCCAAATGCCAGCGTTCGCATGCGCCCACCGCATCCACGTTGGCACGCCCCCCACACGTTTCGCTAGCACTGGGCTGCCGTGGACTGCCCAGGTGGTGCAGCTTCTAGGAGCTAGACCCTCCCAGCTTCTTCGAGCCCTCCCCTCCGATGTCCGTGGCGTGGGCCCCCGAGGATCTCGACCACTTCCCCTGGGCCACCTCTTCGGCCTGAGTCGTTTCTTGGCGGCCCGGCCCGGGAAGCGGCCCCCAGAGGCCAAAAACGCAGAAGGACTGCCCCCAAGGATCTCGACCACTTCCCCTGGGCCACCTCTGCAGCCTGAGTCGTTTCTGGACGGCCCGGCCCGGGAAGCGGCCCCCCGAGGCCACAGACGCAGCAGAACTGGCCGCCACGATCCTGTTGGCGCCAGCCGCCACGATCCTTTTGGGCGCCGCCCGGGTCTGAGAGGAAGCCCCCCCCGCCATTTTTGAGGGCCGCCCCTCTCGCGCCGCCCTGCTCGGGGCGCGCGCGCCCGATCGGCCAGCGACCCCCCCCCGCCCGAGGCTGCCGCCCGGAGAGGCGCCGGTGCCCGCCGCCGCCACCGCTCCGGCGCGCACCAGCCGGGCCGCCAGCCCGCGCCGGTGGGGGCGGCCCGCGGCGCGCGCCGGGGCCATGGGCCCGCGAGCGCGCGGCGTCCGACGGCCCCAGGACACCTGGCGCCTCGGCCTGTGCGGGGCGCGGCCCCACAGAGGTCTGC